CGTTTAACTTGATCTGTTTTGAATTCGTTTGATACTTTGTGTTATAAATGGTTGCTGAGATTGGAAGTCGTTGCTAATCACAGTTACCTAAGCAACTCTGTTTCACTGAACTGAGTACTTGACACTGACTTAGCGTTTAACATGGTTCTTCAGCTGCTTAATAATCAGTTCATAACTGCAGAACTGATTAAGTCATACAAGTTATAACATCTGATAATTTAAATTTTTACTAGTTTAATTAATTTTTTAACCTGCTGCATGTACCTTTCTCTTAACTGCATCGAAGTACATCCTAATAAACACAAGAATGATGCTGCTTAATTTGATAAAAGATTTTCCACAGTTCAGTGCTTCTGTGTTGTATGTCTACCTAAATAAATGAGCACATGCACAGTAATGATCAAATTATGATTGTTTTGAACATCACAGGTGTCACATATAGATGAGAAGGATCAGTCAAATTCAGTTACACCTTCTGCAGACTCTGAAGTTAAATCCAATTGCATCGGTTGCTTGGGAAACAATGGTTGTCGGACTGTTCATGCAAGAACTAAACTGATGAATATTCTGATTGAGAAGGGGAAGCCTCAGGAAGCTCATTCTATTTTCAACAGCTTAACTGAAGAAGGGCACAAGCCAACTCGTGTGACCTACACAACTCTTGTAGCTGCATTAACCCGCCAGAAACGTTACAAGGCCATTATTTCACTTATCTCCAAAGTGGAAGAGAGTGGTATTAAGCCTGATTCAATTCTCTTCAATGCTATGATCAATGCCTTTTCTGAATCTGGAAATGTCAAAGAAGCCATGAAAATCTTTGAGAAAATGAAGAAGAGTGGATGCAAGCCCACAACCAGTACTTTTAATACTCTTATTAAAGGATATGGAAATATTCGTAAGGCTGAAGAATCTTCAAAATTACTGGAGTTAATGCTGCAGGATGAAAATGTGCAACCAAATGATAGGACATATAATATTCTAATTAGAGCCTGGTGCAACAAAAAGAACATACAAGAAGCATGGAATGTGGTGTACAGAATGGTGGCATCTGGTATGCATCCTGATGTTGTCACTTATAATACAATAGCAAGAGCCTATGCTCAGACTGGGGAGACTTGCAGGGCTGAACAGATGGTTTTCGAGATGCAAAACAACAAAGTGGCTCCTAATGAGCGTACTTGTGGTATCATTGTGACTGGATATTCTAAAGAAGGTAATATGACAGAAGCTTTGAGGTTTGTGTACAGGATGAAGGAGCTAGGAGTGCTGCCAAACCTTGTTGTTTTCAACTCTCTGATAAAAGGGTTTCTAGATGTTACAGATACCGATGGCGTTGATGAGGTGAGTTTCAACTTTGATGCTAGCATGTCTTTTTTTTCTCAAAAATTATTCTCCTTCATCTAGTAGAATTATAACATGTTCAAAGAGCTAAAATGCTACATGTTGGAATCATGCACTAGGTATTTCTCCATGTGCTAAGTTTAAAGGGCTTCTGGAAATCTCAAGGATAACAAATGGTCAAACTTTCTGTTATGAATTGTTGAGTAAAATGCAAATCATTCACAACCTTTATACAAATATTTCATTTTCATGTATGACCCTTTGAACAAAATTTTTAGATTCTTGACTTTGTAAATATGTTTCAAGTCCATCCATTCTGTCAACCCACTATTAAAAATTGATAGAATATGCCGTTGTGGCATAGATACCAGCTCAAAAAGCCAAATATTTTTTTGACACATGGACATCCAAAGTGTCCAGGCCTACCTATGATTTGTGCCACATGAAGCTGAGATGGCAAATTCTGTCGGGTTTTAATGGCGTTTGACAAATGGATGAATTTGGAACATTTTAAAAAAAATTATGGATTTAAAAATTAAGTTTTAAAAGTCACATATGAAAATAAAATATTGAACAAAAGTCATGCATGTTTGGTGCAATTTACTCTGAACTGTTAGTTCTGGATTTGAACTTTTCCTTCACTAGAGAGATTCAAGTTGTGAAGCTTACTCTTTAGACAAGCACGTTATAGTCCTTTTAAATTGGATGATTTTAGGTTGTTCCTGTGCTGAGATTGTGTAATTAAAGGAAAATGAAGAATAGAATCTTTAATCTGCCATTGGTAGCTCATTGTATTGCAAGTTTCTGCTTTACTTTCATGTTCCGTTTCTATGCTTTCCCTAATGATAAGCGTATTACTAGGTGGAGTAGAAAAGCTTTATTCTGCCCCAATAACCCAATAACAACATCATTTTCTAGTTGAGAAAATGTAAAAACACATTTCACATGGTTCCTTTGCCCAGCTGTATAGCATTTGAAAGCACCAATTCATTATATTTCTTGTAATAAATTGCTTACAATAAGCTTAAATTCAACAGGCACTGACACTGATGGAAGAATTTGGGGTCAAACCAGATGTTATAACATTTAGCACGATCATGAATGCATGGAGCTCTGCAGGGCTGATGGAGAAATGCCAGGAGATCTTTGATGACATGGTGAAGGCTGGTATAGAACCTGACGCTCATGCATTTAGCATACTGGCGAAAGGCTATGTTCGTGCTGGAGAGCCAGGAGAGGCTGAATCACTCCTCGATTTGATGAGTAAATTTGGTGTGCATCCAAATGTTGTAATCTTCACAACCATCATCAGCGGGTGGTGCACTGCTGGAAAAATGGACCATGCAGCCAGAGTTTATGAGAAAATGTGTGAAATCGATATTTCCCCGAATTTGACTACTTATGAGACTTTGATATGGGGATATGGGGAAGCAAAACAGCCATGGAAAGCTGAAGAACTATTGCAGATTATGGACGAGAAGGGTATCACTCCTGACAGGAACACCATACAGCTTGTTGCAGATGCTTGGCGTGCTGTTGGTTTATTAAGTGAAGCAAGAAGAATTGTGAAAAATATAGATCGAGGCGTTGCATCAAATAATACGGATGAGATACCAGCAGAGAGTTTGGAGAAGATTTATAAGAAACAAAACCTTAGTGCTTCTTATTCTGATGTTTTGCAGATACCTGGAGTAACTACGACTGACCGAAATGGATCATCTACTGCTAAAACTAGAAGCCAAATGGTGTTGAAGAAATACGATTCTTCCTCTATGTATCTCGCTCATGCAAGTGTTCTAGGGGTGCAACCAGGGATTATATGCCGGAAGCAGTTAACAAGAAGGGAGAAGATGCACGTGCAGTTTGTAAATTCATGTAAATTGGTGTTCATAAACTGATGAGGATTTGTGGATCACCGTCCAGAGATCATGTAGCTTGATTTTTTCGGCACATTGGAGTTTGGAGATGCTGATGACTTAAAGCTGTAGATATTGAAGCTGTTCTTCAACACATACCATCATATTTATTGGACCATTGATTATACGATCATTTTGTGTAAGTAATTAAATGGCTGCCTACACTGCTGAGATACACATTGTTGGTATCAGGCAGGCCAGAAAAGGGCTACTGCCAATTTGGTTGCAAAAGTAACACAATGTTTTTCGATCCTATATTATATGCCCTTTAGCATAGGTGAAGATCTGAAATACACTATGAATATTTTCATGGTTTAAATGAAATTTCCTGAGCTAATAATTAGTCAGAACATTGTCAATTTGTGAATGCAGGTATCAGGGGAAGGTCGAATATAGTAGAACATAAAATTTATTCAATTGATCTCAATTTGTGCTTAATAGTACTATAATATATAATCGCATTTCTATTTGGATAGTTCATAATTATACCTAGAGACTACTAGCAAGAATTAAAAGCTCCATGTCCCATACAAAACCAATAGCTTATTTTCAAATTCTTAAGTTATGCATGAAAAGAAGAAACATGAATTTTAGGATTCAGTCATTCAACAGAAAAAAAAAGAAAAAGGAAAACTTTGATTTATGCTTTGTGAAATAATGAGATGTTGAGTAAAGACATGCATTTATGGTAATCTTTGCTTTAATTTTCATGTGTATTTCTTTTTATCCTACAAAAACCACTAGAAAACATTTGTATAGAAAGAGGATTATAGAAAACCATTAAAACCTAAAGATGGAACGTAAACAATTTCCATCAGCCAACAGGAAAACAAAATGCTCACATGAACAACTTCTAGTAAAGTACGTTGGAAAGAATAATGCATAATTAAGCTAAACACTTAAGTAGCGTTGGTATGAGGAAAGTGAGAGCACATTCTTTGTAATGTGTCTAATTAAATTACATTACAGCGTTTATTTTATAATAGATCACTACAATGTTAGATTGTAATACAATTACATTACAGTCAAGAGATGATATGTGATTACAGTCTAAAACTAATGCAATCACATTACATTGCACATTTTTATCTTTCAACTTTATTACTTTGTTAAAAGTATTTTGTAATGTTATAATTAAAATAAAATATATAATATA